CACAGCAGCACTATTTGCAATAGCTAAAACATGGAAACAACCTAAATGTCTACTGACAGATGACAGAATAAAGAAGCTGTGGTATATTTATACAGCGGAATACTACTCAGCCATAACAAAGAATAAAACAATGCCATTTGCAGCAACATGAATTGGACCTGGAGATTGTCATTCTAAGTGAGGTAAGCCAGAAAGGGAAAGAAAAATAAAGTGATATCACTTATGTGTGGAATCTAAAAAAAAGTCACAAATGAACTTATTTACAAAACAGAAACAGATTCACATAGAAAAGAAACATGGTTACTGGGGGAAAGGAGGTGGGAAGGGATAAACTGGGAGTTCAGGAGTTGCAGATACTAACTACTATATATAAAATAATAAACAACAGGTTTCTACTGTATAGCACAGGGAACTATATTCAATATCTTGTACTAACCTATAATGAAAAAGAATCTGAAAAGGAATATATGTATATATATATGTATGACTGAAATGTTATACTGTACACTAGAAATTGACACAGCATTGTCAACTGACTATATGTGAATTAAAAATAATAAATCAATACATAAACAAACAAACAGGTAAATAAATATTTCTTTCACAAGAGCACGCTCGTTCTGCCTGGTAAGGGGAGACTGCTTGCCAAGATAGTCTAAGAATGACTCTCTCCACAGGCCCATACAGAGTGAGCAAAGGAAAAGGTAAAAAATTTGCACAACTACGAGCACTTGATCCTAAGACTGCACCTCTCTTGCCTCCCCATGCAAGACCCCTGAGTGTGGACCAACACCAAGTAGGCGTGGGAGGAGAGACGGCTTCTTGTAGAAATCAGGCTATTGTGTGTGTTGGGCAGGTGGACTCTGCCCCTCAGAGCATAAGCAGTGGGGGCGCCTAAAGGTACCTGTTCTGCTGTAAATATTTGTTGAGTGGACCGAGCTCCGCCATCTCCATGACCAGCATCCAGGACTCGGCCTCGCATATCCCGATCATGCGCACGATGTACGGGTTGTCGAGCTGCTGCATGACGTTTGCCTCTGCTAATAATTCATCTTTAAGGGCAGGGTCATTGGCCTCGTTTTTCAAGATTTTCACAGCCACTGTTTTCACGACTCTGCAAAAGAAGTCATAACACATAAGAAATTTTTCAAAGTGGCTCACTCGTACATAATTATTTTCCATGAAGCATAACTCCTATGCTAGAAATGGTACCTGTCATGGAACAGAAAGTCATCTTGAGAAGCCATGTTGTAAACGACTAGCTTTCCAATCATGTTCTCTCATTTTATAGACAAAGAAAGTAACATCTAATTAGTTAAACATAATGGGAAAGCACTGAAGATTGCCCCAAGCAATTGGAAAGCCTACGTATTATGGAATATTCAAATAACTTTCAAATAAACTTTGCAACTTATGACATTCATGAATTCCAATAACACCTTGAGATTTACCATCTCAAGAGTATTTCTAATGTATGTAAATACAACATTCCTTTAATATATCTTACAATGAATTTCTAGATGCAGAATTAAAAAGCATACACTATTACAGTTCATAATTTACAAAACACTTAAAAAAATAAAGTTTGTTCATTTTAAGCAAGCTTTAACAAGTTTGCAAAAAACAAATTATTTCTGTTTTCTAGTAAAAACATCATCCAGGTCATGTTTGAGCTCTTGAAACCATTCTGATATAGCAGGGCTTAAATAAAGGAATGGAACTCAACTAGGCATGATTTGAAAAACTGCATCTCTCTGGGATACAGTTCTCAGAAATGCTGGAAGTATTCCTCTTCTGTTGAACTCCGAAACGGGAGAATAAAAACAGAACTATCCAATGAAATAGGTAAAACAACAGAACAACAGAGTAAGTCGGACATAACATTCAGAAAAGCACATACAGCTTCAGCTTAGGACTCAAAGAGTATTTATATGCTTTGTGTCACTGGACAGAAGCTGTAGCTGCTACACAGATGGAGGTTTAGAACATCATCAGCATCCTGGGTCCACCCCCTCCCCGTTCATTCTGCTCCTGAGACCAAGGAAACAGCCTCCTCTGTGACCTCTGGACAGTTTACTGTTTTACCTTTCAC